TATTTAGTTGCACAACTCCTTTTCTTACAGTTTCTCTTCCATACCCATTCTTGATACTCATTTTTACACATGAAGTTTAAAATCAATTTGTCTAGTTTCAAATTAATCCTGTGCAGTAACCAAGCCTCTTGGTAGTCACAGCCTTGTATAGACCTCTCCTACCATGTATCAGGGTTGGTGGATTGGTCTATGTGACCAAGAGAATACAGCAGAGGTGATGATTTGTGACTTCCTAAAGCACTGCAGTTTCTGCCTGGGATCACACACTCTGGGAAAAGCCAGCCCCATGAGGTCAAGCAGGGCTAGGTGGAGGTCCACAAGGCAAGGAACTGAAGCTTCCTGGCAACTGCCAACACCCACTTGCCAGCCATGTGAGTGAGCTATCTTGGGAGTAGAACCTCTGGCCCCAGTTACTCCCACAGATGACCAAGCCCTGGTCAACATCTTGGCTAGCCATGTGAGAATCTCCAGAACCATCCACTGCTCCTGAATTCCTGACTTAGAGCGAAATTGCGAGATTTCACAATTGTGAAATATTTACTGTTTTAAGCCACTAGTTTTGAAGTTGTTAGTTATATATACAGCAATATACATAACTAATTAGACCTGTTCATGTATATACTGGGATTGTGTTAAATTTTAAAAAGCTTTAGGGAGAACCAATCTCATTATCAAATTAGGTGTTCTTATCCAAGTACAGGAACTATCTTTTCATTGAAGGCCTCTATGTGTCTCTCCACAGCATTTAAAAATTTTCTTTATATACATTTAAGTATTTTATCTCTTTTTTTGGTATTGAAAATATTTTCTTTTAACATACTTTCTAACAGGTAACTGTATATATTTTTATATACAAGTATAGGTTTATAGAGGTTAGTATAGGTTTTCAGTTGATCATTTTGGATTTTCCTGCTACACAATCTTAGCCTTTGTAAATAATGATAGTCACTTCTCCTCTTTTCTGTCTTCTTTCTTTCTCATATCTGCTTTCTCAGTTAATATACCCAGGATAATAATAAATATTAATGGTGAGGCTTTACCACTAAGCAAGATGATGTCTTTTGGCTTAAAATATTAGCATGTTGAGAAATATTCATCATTTCCCATTTTCTTACTAGTTTTGGTCAAGACAGTGACCTGGATTTTATCCAATACCTTTTCAGTAACTTTGAGTTGATAAGACAACTTTTCTCTTATGATGCATATTAACGAAATAAATTATATTAGTAGGTTTTCTAACTGAATCATTATTATAGTAGAGAAGGTCTTTATAGTATCTTTCTGTATTATCCACGTGAATAAGCTTACTTATAAATTATTACATGCTCATTATACCAGTTAAAACAATAAAGCTGGCCAGCCTGGGTGACAGCAAGACCCTGTCTCAAAAATAATTAAAATAAAATAAATAAAATAAAAATTTAAAAATAATAAAACAATAACACTGTTATAATTTGAAATAAATATGCTGGAAAAAATTTACCTTTTCCTTCCCTTCTCAAATTTCAACAATGAAAACAAAATCATTTTTTTGTTATGTTCTCAAGCTTATTCCATGATACCTTTGTGTGGAAAAAGCTGACTCCAAAATAGTTCTAGTTTTTCATTCCATCGGATAAATTAATGAAAACTAAACCTTTAAACAGTTTAACATAATTTTGACTCACTTGTTGTTCCTCAAAAGGATTATATGGCTCAGTATTGACTTCTTGGTGTATTATGTTCCAAGATACCTGTGGGCAAAACAAAAAATTAAAATTCACTTTATCTCAATTGCGTCTAGTAAAATAAGCCCATCAAGTAATAACACTTTAAAACACACCCACAATTTTTTCAAGGTTTTTTTGCCATTTAGATCATGTTCCATACTTTCTGTAAACATGTATATTAGGAAAATTATTTAGAATTAGTATAACTGAAAATGATTATGATCCACTGCTCTTAACCTATTTTTTTCAAAGCTTCCTAGAAAACATAATGAGGAGTGGGGCAATTCAATAAGGATTTAATGAATTCATACCCTATAAAGGCAATCATAAGAGAATTTTAATTTCATCTCATGCTTGTTAGGAAGGAACTCATACAGATCTCTCTTGTTTCTATCTCGCTGTCTCTTTTTTTCTCATTCCTCCCCTGGTTTGACAGGAGAAGCTGGGCATGTGTAGGTCAGGGTCTTCCTTTTTCCTTCTCTTTCTTTCTGAGTAGCTTCCAGCACATTTTCCCTTTCTCCTCCATGCGGTAAGTCCTATGGGGCAGGCACCCCACGCTGGAAGGCCTCCAGGTGGGCCCTCCTGTAACTGGCAGGTAAGGCACTGTGATACAGGCTACACTGCCAGCCAGCACTTGACTTTTCTACAAACAGCCACCTTCTCCTCCAGCCCCTTTATTAATTCTTAGGATGACGTTTTGGCTCCACCTGCTGTCTTATTTCTCAATGTGCGTAGAATTTCGGTAGCAAAGATGGGTATTTTTGAGACCCAAGCTTCTTTCTGAGAAGATTACCTGGCACACTTCACAAAACAGTTCATATTTTTAAAATATTTTCAGGCAAAAGCTTCAGTAATCATTATAAAGTCAATCAACTTTAAGGATTCTTGTAAATATAACGGCAATGAAAAATGAAAAGGAAAATTTAACTTCAGTATTAAGAAGACTTTTCTATTTAACTCTTACCTGTATGGCAACCATCTGCACGTGTGGAATGTTTGTTACTGCACTGATGCTTTCTGGAATTACTTCACATTTGTTGTTAGAATTTCCACAGTGCCCATCATTTCTGTTAGACTCACTCAGGACTGTATGAGCATCCCCTGTGCTGCAGTGTGACTTCACAGATATTCCCGAAGAGTCTTCAAGGATCTGTGTTTCAGAGGCAATCTGGTGACCAACAGCATTCTCAGCATTCAAATGATGACCCTCAAAATAGGCAGCGGCATTTTTATCTGCTCTGTCATTGGCTACAAAAGACGGCACCACTGGTACTGATCTTGGTAGCTGATATTCAGGAGAAAGGCTGGCCAAGGGTGTATATATGCTGGTGTACTGGGGCAAACCTGGTAACACGTTTATGTATGCTGCCGGTGTCTGGGTGATATCAAATCTCTGGAAAGGAAGATACGTACAGTATCCTGTGAACAAATGGGATTGAGCCCAATAAGTTGGTTTCACATCCTCAAGAACCGGTCTGGGGGAATTAGAGGAGACTCGCTTGTAATTTGCATCCTCAGAGCCTGGTATGGGAGAATTGGAAGAGGCCCCTTTGGGTTTCCCATCCTCAGAAACTTGTCTAGAAGAATTGTCGGCTACTGGTTTGGCCCTCACATCTTCACACGCTGGCTCAGGAGAATTTGAAGACACAGGTTTGGGTTTCACATCTTCAGAAGCTGGTGCTGAAGATGAATCTGACACTGGTGTAGACTTTACATCTGGTTTAAATTCCCTTGCAGCTGGATTCAGAGGTAGTTTAACTCGTAAATATTCTCCTGCTTTTGCAATTTCTTCTACTTTTGTTTTAATGTTTTTCTTCTTCCTTTTTTTCTTGAGCCGTGATGCAACTTTCTTCAATGCAATACAGTTGTCAATCACAACAAAACGAGGACATCCCAAGAGAAAAGGTTTTAAACCTCCTGCTTTTTCTAGTATCTGTCGAGTTTCTTCTGGGAAAAACTCATATTCTTCGGAGAACATCTTGTTACTCATGTCCAAGGGACCATGCTCCTCCAAAAACTGAGAGAAGTAACTTGGAAAAAATTTACATTTACATGAGTTACTATAAGGAAGTACTTGAATACGTCTATAAATAAAAAACTTTTATTCTCCCAAAGGAAAACACTGTTTCACTTTTCACTGATCTCAACCTTTCCCCAACAACAAATATAACAAACATAAGGTTAACTGCAATCAATGATACTATACAGAAAATTTTGTATACCTCCTAGAAAATGATCATTTAAAACTTTTCTGGGAGTGAGGGAAAGCAAAATGAAATCAAAAAGTTATCTTATAACTTTCAACTATGTAATTATATAATTTATTCTAAAAACAATAAAAAAATAAAAATTTATTCAGGAAAGGTAACAATAATGCTAATAATAAGAACTTTAAATAAAAAGAGAAAATCAAATCCAAAAACAAATCCTATTTGAATTTGTGTACAGTAAATACTGAAAACTACATACTTTAGCTTTACTTTTGGATGCCTGAGGCAAATTCTAGCACATTTTAAGAAATAATAGTTTAATTTTACAGTTGTTTCCACACTGTCACTCAAGAGTTCTCTGGAAATATGATTTGCTCGGCATTTCAACTCTAAAGAAAAACCATGAAGAAGGATCTAAGAGCACAGAACTAAATAGGAATGATGCAATGGAGGAAAACAGAAGAAAGGGCCATATGGTGGATATGCTACTGACAGGACTTCCAGGAGAAGAGTTGGCTTTTAAATTAATACTCTATTACAGACCTCAGCCCTTGATTTATTTTCTTAAAAGGAAGGCCTCATGCACTATTTAATAACACAAAGCTCAAAATGGTAAGCTATTTCTGAGATTTTCCTGAATTTTTTACTTGTTTTATCCACCCCACTCAATATCGATCTAGTAGCTCAAACTGACAAAATCAATAATCATTAGGACTCTAAATTTAATAATTAAAAATCCTCAGGGCGGGGCGAAGTGGCTCATGCCTGTAATCTCACCATTTTGGAAGGCCGAGGCAGGCAGATCACTTGAGGCCAGGAGTTGGAGACCTGCCTGGCCAACACAGTGAAACCCCTTCTCTACTAAAAATACAAAAATTAGCCAGGCATGGTGGTGCAAGCCTGTAATCTCAGCTACTCAGGAAGCTGAGGCATGAGAATCACCCGAACCTGAGAGGCACAGGTTGTGGTGAGCAGAGATTGCACCACTGCACTCCAGCCCATGTGACATGGCAAGACTCTGTCTCAAAAAAAAAAGAGTCCTAAATTAACTTTGTGTAAAATGTGGCAAAATCTCTAAAAACAGGCACAAATTAAACAACTTCTGATCTTTAATTGGCAGCCTCAGTATAAAATAATGATTGTAAAAATTTCAACCCACTTACTCATACAGAGTTGAACATTTTTGTTTTGGGTTCATTTCCCATAGCTTCTTATTGCGGACAACATATTCGTTACTGTGTTGGTCATAGAGAGCTTCAAATTCTTCTACATCTTGCCGAAGATGGTCAGGCACTGCAAAAGGGCCTGCAGAATCTGAATTTCGATTGCTGGTAAATAACAACAAAAAACACCCAGTTTTGTGAAAGATAAACTTTTGGTTTATTATTTAACCAGAAGAATGTTTAATTGAAATAAACACAATAATGGCAATATATTACTCAGCTCTATGTTGCAAAAAAATAGCACCAGGGAACTTAGTGTAGATAAGTTACCCTTCCACAGTTATAGGCAAGAAATATCATATCCGACAATCTAAGTAAGCACTTTCAATTATTTAGTCTTGCTCCAAAGAGCAAAATTCTTAAAACTCCATAATTTAAAAAAATGTTGCATTAACTATAACTTGTTAAATGATTGAAAGACAAATGAAGACTGTATTACAACTGCTATTAAGTAAGTTAAAGTGAGACTGAGACTAGTAAATGTTATTAATAAAAGGTTTTTTTAGGCCGGGTGCGGTGGCTCACGCCTGTAATCCCAGCACTGTGGGAGGCCATGGTGGGCGGATCACTTGAGGTCAGGAGTTCAAGATCAGCCTGACCAACACGGAGAAACCCTGTCCCTAATAAAAATACAAAATTAGCCAGGCATCGTGGCGCATGGCTGTAATCCCAACTACTCAGGAGGCTGAGGCAGGAGAATTGCTTGAACCCGGGAGGTGGAGGTTGCGGTGAGCTGAGATCACGCCATTCACGCCATTGCACTCCAGTCTGGGCAACAAGAGCGAAACTCCATCTAAACAAAAGTTTTTTTTAAATATAAGATGTTAGCACTCTAAAAAGATGTAGTAGTTTGAGTGTGTGGACTCTAAAACCAGGCTGCATGACTTAAATCCCAGCTCTGCTATTTATAAGCTTTGTGTTCTTGGGCAAGTCGTTCTGCACTGTGCCTCAGAGTTTCCTTATCTGTACACTGGACAGAATATAATAGCACTTACCTCCTAGGCGGGATAAGTGGATTGAAAGAGTTTATGAATGTAAACCCCCTAAAACAATGTCTGATACATAAGAATTAATCTCAGTAAAGGCTATGCTATGGTCTAAATGTTTGTGTTCCTGCAAAACTCATATGTTGAAACCTAATCACCAATGTGATGGTGTCAGGATGTGGACTCTTTGGGAGGTAATTAGGCTCTGCCCCCATGAATGGACTTAGTGCCCTTATAAAAGAGGCCCCAGAGAGTTGCCTTGTCCCTTCCACCATGAGAAAACACAGCGAGAAGGCACCATCTATGAAACAGAAAGCAGGCCCTCACCACACACTGAATCTGCCAGTACCTTGATCTTGGACTTCCCAGCCTCCAGAACTGTGAGGAATAAATTTCTGTGTGTAAGCCTCCCAGTTTATGGTATATTGTTATAGCAGCGCAAACTGACTAAGACAGGCTATTATTTTAACTTAAAACAATACCCTACTTAAGGAATCCATGAAAACAACCACGTAAATTTTTAACTGTTCTGATAACTCCTTTAAGAAATGTGAAAAAAAAACCATGTTGTAGATTTTTGGTTCATAAAGGAATATGGGTTACTACTACTCACTAGTTTTATTTCTTAAATATTTGTTTCTTGAAAACTCAGTTTCGACAACCAGATGGCATTGAAAATCACTAATATATAAGGTGAAACCATAACATCATATACAGCTCCCAAAACAGCTTCTTCTCTATTACAGCAAAAATGCTAGTAAGTATTAACAGAACATTCTCTCTATTGACTATTTTAAAGAATAATTTGTAGACATTTTTCTATGATTTTCCCACAGAGCCTTGCACATGGTAGGTTCTCAATATGTACTTAGGGAATGAACGTTACCAGTATTGTGACTTTAACACAGTTTGAATGAATTCTTAATGCCTTCTAGCCATGCTATGTAAATGTAATCAAGATAGAATTACATCAGGCTGTCACATGCACAGCTTTAGAAAGGAAAGTTAGGGAAATAAAACACAAGTTTATATACATTAAATTAACACAACTTATTAAGTAAAGACATTTGAGTTAAAATGAAGCAAAAATTTAAAAATTATACTTACGTATGGTCTTCACTTGAAGTGATGACATCATTATTTGGAGTTACTGAAGTTGTCCCAGACCCAACTAACATAGGCTGGTTTAAAAGACAGAAAAATGACAATCATTTTCTACCTTAAAATTCCATTAAAGAAAAAAAAATCATTAAAATTGATGAATGCTTATATAAACACACATACAAATTGCTAATATATAAGATCTATCCAAATTTTCTTACAAACAGGAACACATGGTAATAAAAGTTTCAACAGCCAAAAACAAGCTCAAATTAACATTTAGGATAGTTTCCAATGCTCCAAAAAAATTTAAATGTTACTCAGTTTAAACTCCCATTTTACCTAAACTAAATACATATAGTCAAAGATAAAAATAAAAGTTGTATTGGAACTCCTTAGCTCTTCTCATCTTTTGAAGATTTGCTACTCTCTCTCACTCCATCCCCCTTTCTGCTCCCCACATACACAAGAGCCATGAAGAACCCACCAAAGACTTAAAAATTGTGCTCTACTCTGGCACAGCAGTTCACGCCTGTAAGGCCAAGGTGGGCAGATCGCTTGAACCCAGGAGTTCTAGACCAGCCTGGGCAATACAGCAAAACCCCATCTCTATAAAAAATTAGCTGGGCATGGTGGCATGCACCTTCATTCCGGCTACTCAGGAGGCTGAGGTGGGAGGATCACTTGAGGCTGCAGTGAGCCGTCACTGCACCACTGCTCTCCAGCCTGGGCGAGAGAAGGAGACCCTGTCTCAAAAATAAAAATAAAAATGCCCTACTTATCTCACGGGCTTGGAGGAGAGCCTTTGGTGAGAGGAAGGAAGGGATTCTATCAATCCTGGGACAGTCATAATGATTAGTATTCATCATTTTTAGTTTAAATATGTTATCTATTTTTTGAGACTTATTTATTTTTGGGGACATTATGGCAATTTTTTTTTTTACTCAGAAACATCTAAAAAAATAAAAAGGTCAATAAAGAATATGAGTCTCTCAAGACTTGCTATTATACAATATGAACATGGAATTTCTTCAAAATGTAGAAGACTGCCAAAACATCTTTAAGTCCTAGAAAGTCTTTCTCTACAAATGTTTCAAAATATCCAAAGAATTGCTCAATTCTAATTTATATGTCCAACTAACTATTTTGGAGAGTTTAGACAATAATTAATACAGAAAATACTCCGTACCTTTGAATCCTTTGGCTTCTTTTTCTTGCCTTTGTTTTTCACCTTGGTAGAACTAAACTAAAAAATGGGGGGAAAATCAGTGAACACTCAACAACAGCATTATGAATCTCAACATAAAGAAACCATATTGGTTTTCACAGACTAGCCATAAGTTAAATGTTTAACATAATGTTTACATAAAATGTTTAACAAAAATAACACTACAGTGTATCAGCCAAAGTGCTATGATTTATCATAGAAAACAAGCAAAATTTAATAATACCTAATGTTATAACTAAAATTAAATTGTTCCAACATTTTTATCTTATTTTCCACAGGGTTGGAATGTTGTTTCAAGTAATTAATCAGACTTTTATGTAATTCCAGTTATATGCTATAATAGTATTTTTATTATTAATGTATTTCTTTCACTAAGCCACACTAGACATTCTGCACCTGACCACACACTGGGGCACAAACAGTGAATAACGAAGCCTTCAGCTCCTTATGGGGTAAATCAGCTGTGTTTCCCTGCTTAGTCGGGCAATATTTGATGGAGCAGATTAAGATAAAATTTCATATAGATAGATGATTTGCTCCTGAAAATCAGTAAACGGGCATCTTTCTCTTTGAAAACTGCCACAATGCTGTGCTTTTCTCTATTTACTCACTTTCCTAAACTGAAGAATTTCTGAAGAATGAATAAAAGGCAACTGCAAACTACTCAGGAAGACAACTCTGGAACTGTTTTAACTTAAACTAAATTTAGAGCCACTCAAAACAAAGTCCCTTTGTTTTCCTTCTAGAGCAAAAATTAAAACTTTAGTTATTAAAGATAACTTTTCATTTTTATGCCAGGAGATGAAGAACTCTTCCTTTCCTAATTGGAATATTAATGTTTATCAGCTCTGAAACTTCATGGAAATTGTCTAATTTAAGCCTCATAGTTTGCTGATTATTGCTCCAATTCCAAGAAGAAGACTGGCAGTGACTTTCTAATGAAATAGTACATACTACCCAGACGTCCTTTTAATGTGGTTCTTGAATACTGGTTGTGATGTCAGTAAACACTGGCCTGGGTCCCCCTCTCATCTTTGGTTTAACATAGATTAGAACATAAGATTTCAAGTGATAAGTAACTTACCAGTGCTTCACCACTGTCTTGTTTCCTTAACACAGTACAGCGGCTGTCTGCAGGAATATACAGATGGTTTTGTGAGGAAACTAAATATTTATATTTCCATATAATACACTAAAGCCTTAAAACAACTCCTGATACTACTGGCATAGGCCATGTTCTATTCTTTAATAGGCTTTGACACAAGTGTGGTTTAGAAACCAAGGGCAAAATGGCTGACTAAACAGGAAACCAACTACAAAGAACCATAAAACTTCAATCTGATTCAGCATAATGTGAGTGCCTTCTAGGTGCCATCTATGCTAGTGCTGGGAATAGAGATGCACAAGACAGTCCCTGCCATTGATGAACTGCTGCTCCACTGCCAGAAAGACAAACAGACAAACACCTGTAACCCAGAATGCTAAGTACCACATGAAACACAAGGCAACACAGCTCATGAAGGACTCAGGTCTGCAGTCTGCATGGGAGAGTCCCACAGGAGGGGCAAGGAGGACTCTGAGGAGGAGGGGACATTTAAGTTACTCTGGAAATGAACAAGCAAAGGGGTGGGGCATCGCTGGGGGAACCACATGAACAAAGACAGGAGTCAGGAAAGCACAAGGCAGGTTTGGGCACAGTGAGAAGTGGGGTGTGTGCTCAGAGACAGAGGATGATGATGAACCCAGACCCCAGATGATGTGAATTTAATTTGTAAGTAAAACTAAACAAATGTTTCCCAAATTGAAGAGTTAAAAGAATCAGAGAGATGTTCTAGAAGAGTCACTACCTGCAATATAAGAGGAAGATGGAAGAGTGGGAGAGTCTAGAGGCATGGAGTCCAGTTTGGAGGCTACTATAGTAGTCTAACTATGGAAAGACAACTAAGGTCCTGGCCTTGGGAAGTGGGGTGACAGCAAAGGATAGATCAAGGACAAAGCTCATCTGGATTGATGACAAACAAGTTATACTCTTAATACTGAAAAGAAAGAATTGACACTAATTACAGAGTTTCCCGTTTAAAAACTAGATATACAATGTTATTGACTGAGATAAATTGAGGAAAAACAGATCTCGGAAGATGTGATAGGTGGGTTCAGTCATACTGCTTCAAGGGGTTCTTTGGCTGTCTGACAGAAATACCCTAGGGAATCATGCAGGAAGAGGTCAGGGGAAAAGTCGGGGCTCTCAGTTATCACAGCACTAGTGACACTGTCGAACACTCTAATCTACAAGATCAGTGGATTTTGAAAAGTTTTAAGAAATATAAGCATTCCTTTAAATGAGGAGATAAAACTGAAAATGTTTGGGGTGAAGGTGGAAGGCAGAGCTACTGGACTTGAGAATCCATTGGGATTGTCAATAATTTGGTTAGTGGCTTCTGACCTCATGACTAGAAACAGAGAAACAGTAGCAGCTGGAAGTGCTGTGTTTTTTATGTAGAGAACACAAGTTAAAGGACTAGTGGACGCTAAGAGGGAACTGTGTCCTTTTTAGTTGTCTTGTTTTGTGATCCAAACATGCATCAGATTTTGTAAGCTCAGTCCTGGGACAGCATTTTATTACCAGCAGCAGCAAACTGATGGTAATAAATTCAGGCTATCAAGTAGCATGTCACCTTCAGTCATGAAGCAGTATCCTGAAAAGATAAAGCCATCTGTATTTGAGTGTGCTCTTTTCTAAGAACTTTCGTTGTCAAAAGTAAGCTTTCCGGGAAGCGTCCTTATACTGCATTGGAACTTTATCATCTGTGACACCATCGTACAAGGCTGGACCTTTTAATGTACTCTTTAAAACAGCATGACATTTAAAAGTCTAACTCCTAACAATACATAGAGGAGACTTCTGATTCTGAGGGATTTGGGGATTATCATAACATGTTTATGTAGTATGAAAGGTAAGAAATTATTATTTAGAATCTAGGAATATGAGAATTTTTAAGTAAAACAGGACCACACAAGTCACTGCCTCCAGATCATCTCATTTTAATATGAGGAAATTAAGATCTAAGAGAAGAGAAGGAATTAGCTGCTAGCTAGCTAATTAGTTCAAGCTGGACTCCATGCCGTTACCCAAATAGGCCCCCCAATTCCAAATAAGCCCTGACACCCAGCTTTCTAACTCCACTTTCACATTCAGAGCCCATCTGAGACTCTACCCCTGCACCACAGCTTTCCTCTCTCCCAGGGAGAAAGAAAGTGTTGGGTCCTTCCTTTGATGCCCTTGGCACTTTCTCTGGCCCTCCTGTATTGAGCTTACTACCATGTTACTGTTATTGCTGCATGTTTCTTACTCTCTTTTCTAGAACACAAGGTCCTCAAGGGCAGAGACAAGTGTAAGCATTTCTGAATTCCTTCTCAACACCCATCACTGGGCCCACAAGGTTTTTAATGAACTAAACTAAGGGAGAAGCTGTGCCATAACCTACTTTTCCTGACCCCTAGTTCTAGGCTCTTCCCATTAAAACATGGGGCACCCATTCTAGATTTTGCAAACATCACCTACTTCTGCAGGCCAATGTTTTCTAAAATGCTACAAATCAAACCACTTGCTAATAGATTCTGTGAATGTAACATGCAATCTTTCCCATGATGCTGTGAAAATATCTAAGACGGGAAGAATATTGTGTATTGTTAGCATAACATACCCACATTTGAGTATCTCTTTAACTGATAAAGTAAAAAAGCTTTATGATATAAAAAAATTGCTACTGTTAATCACTAACTTCCCCACATAAACTGGTTGTACCATAATAATTTTCACTATTTTCTTTGTTATGTATTTAAACAAGCTAGGTCCTTCACAGATTTTTTTCCCCTTAAGGTTAAAAGTAATATAAATCTAAATTCAGTCCACATACCCATTATATCAAAGAATTCATCTAAAGCACTATGCAATGCTGGGAACTTGTCTCTGTGTTCTTCTAGCAGCCATATTAAACAACGGGCTTCCTTCAATGATGTTGGCTCAGAGAAATAATCAAGTTGCTTTCCTTCTATAGAGTCTAGTTTGTGACCATATTTCTCATGCCAGAGGAAAGTCATGATACTAAAATCAAGCTGTTTAAGAGATGCTCCATAACGAGAAAAGAAAGGTCCTGTGGCATCTAAGCCTGTAATAAAAACAAAACCCAAATCAGAAGAGGAGGGAAATTATTTACTGTAAAATCACATTCAGTCTCACATCTCTGAAAGCAGCTGACTATAGTTTGCTTATATTCTCAGCAAAAACATTTAAATAGTTGAGAACAGATTCGTTCAAGCTATTAGGCATTTTAGAAACACCATTTAACATTGTTAGACTAATTATAATAATTCTTGTCTACTAGATTTGAATAATGTGGGCCAAAGCCTTCTACTATCATAGTTACCTTTATTAGACCTAGGAGATGAAAGTATGGCATTAAATTTCTTTAAAAATA